GAAAATTAAAGTCTCCCAAAATGATTAAATTATTTGTCCTAATTTTGTTATAACAGGTGTTAAGAAGAGCTTCCAGGCTGTCCAAATACGGAGTCCTATCTGAGCAACAGCTAGACCTGTAGGTACAAATAATAATATAATCACCTAAATCCATGCCACAAAATTTCGAGTCACGCTCGACATTAAATTTATCAAAATATTATTCTTTATAAAAATACACACACCGCCCCTCTCTCGATAAAATTGTGAAAATAAAAGAACAGTCAGAAAAAGATATTCTAAAGCCCTTTTCAGTAGACGATTTTGTATTCGGTAAAACAAGTGAAACAATGATTTTCAAATTAGGTCGTAAATGTCGAAGTCCATTTATAATTACCACAGTACAAAATGGCAGTTGTCAATTCATTAGACGCAGCTCTAACTGCAATAGTACGTTTTTTGAATTTGCTTATTTGTGTGCCTGATGAGCAAGGTAAAGCCGAATCGAAACTTGAAAATTAGCAACAGAATGAGCCTATGTTGGCGAGTAGGTAAAGTAGGTAAAATTTTGATAGACGAAATTCACTCTGTCCTGGCAAAACTAAGTAAAAATAATTTTTGGCTTATTTTTTTTTATTAGTTATCTGGAGCATTGCAACATTTTTATTAATGGACTTAATAGGGTCTATGTGGTGAAGGTTTGCCTAGTTTGGCTTCTTCTTCTTCTCGCTAGTCGTATTCTCATGACTGAGAAATCGTGATCTCACGAAATCGTGTACATCCAGCAACTTTAATTTTCCATGTTTGTCTATCCAGTCTTGCAGCGGCGTATCCGTGATGTTCTTTACTTGGTCTATCCATCTAACCAGTGACCCGCCTTGGTCGTTTTCCTCCCACCTTTCCCTATACTATCAGTTTCTCCAGGTTATCGCCATCTCGTCTTGTGATGTGTCCAAAGTATTTTAAGATTCGCCGGTGGTATACTGTGGACAGTCTATCTTTGACCTTGATTATAGATTCATTTGTACGTTTCTCAGTCCATGAAATCCGTAGCATACGTAGCAACGTAGCAACACTACATCTCAAAGGCTTTCGTAGTTTTGCTTACGCAGTAAGTTACTGGAGATGTGTTCTTGCCTGCTTTGATTTACGTGAAGTTAAGCGGTGGGACCAGAGTGGAAAGGTATGTGTTATCCCGATAAGCACTACGTTATTACACCGGCGTGTGTCGCCAAAGCTAGAGGCCTTTGGATTTCCCAGTATTGTGTACTGTGTTGTTGGCTGGTTAGGTTTACATGAAGGAAAATGAGTGTCTTCGAAGATGGTTATTCCGATAGCATTGCATTGGTGGGAGGGCATGTCTCACCTGGGCAGATTGTTTCGATAAGCATTGCTTGGATGGAGAAGCGTGTGTCGCCGAACACATTTGATTTTTTTATTAGATTGTAGATAAATTATCTACAATAAATTGCAAGTAAATAGGTGCGTAATAGTATTTGTCAAAAATGCAATAAAACACAACTACAGTTTTTCATACATGTGCTCGATAAAAATTATTGATCTTGATAGACAATTCCCAGTTTAACCATAAAATAACTCTCCAGCATAAAAAAAACGAGTTTAGCAAAAACATAACTAAAAAAATCAAAATCACATTATTAACGGAGATATCAATACGGATTTACTCTCAAATATGAAATGAGGAATATAAAAATATATTTCATTTTTTCCATTTTACTTCTTTGGTTAAGGCCGTTACACGACCTCAATAAAACACATGTGAAGATCATTTTACATTTTTTAAAAAAGTGCATGAGACATAAGGCAAAACCCATACCAAAATAAATACATTCTTAAACCTTAGCGCCCTTAAGAATGATGTTGCACGAGAGATATTTTATACAAACTTTAACGAAATGTATATAAAAAAATGCAATTGCTGTAAAACAGACTAAGATGAAAACAAAAAACAGGACTGGTTAACAAATCCAATTTTATGTTGAATAAATGGTAAAAATGAACTCTACTGCGAATGACTAAATAAGTATAAAAAATAAAGTAACAAAAAAGCAAAAGAGATGCTTTTGCATTTGGAGAAGATGAATTAAATATTATTGTGGTCCTTTTGAGCTGCCCTAGAGTTCTCCTTTTTCGTACTAATATTGTCAATGCCTGTCTATTAGGTAGAGTGTTTCCGGAAAAGTGGAAGATGTTGAAAGTAATTAGAGATCTATTAGTATATACCAATATTATCAAAAGTCAGTGAAAAAATAATCAGATTACCAAGCATCTGCAAAAACATAATACACTGTATGCATTTGAAACCACTTTTTTTCGGCGTGAGTAAGCACACGTATGAGAAAAAGCACCTATATCGGAGTAAACTTGGCGTGTGGATTTTCCAGGGTTCATATTTATTTGCGAAATTAAATTGAAAGGAATAAAATAATTTCATGTTAATCTTACCTCATTTACTAAATTTTCTTTAGATTCCTCCTCCATTCTGTCTCCATATTTTTCTCTTAGTTTTTCAAACAAGCCAAACTAGGCGAGATTTCTATCCAATAATTTAAACAAATTTCGATCAGGTTGTCGCCTTTCAATATACATGTTCAAATACATTTCGTATGTCGTGACACCATTTCTATCATTTTTATAATAAAGTTCTACCATATCTCGTTTTTCATCATTGGTGAAGTCCATTTTGAACGACCCAGTAATGTACTAGATATTAAAATGTCAACGACAGATTTCAAAATTCATAGGTTACTATGGTATAAAAATATTTTTCTACTCCCGTCTGTAAAATAGCTAATTACACAACGATCTAGCCTGCGGGAAGCGTCACTGTACCACGCCAGTTTTATTGCACACGGATCCGAGCCGCTTCGGACATTTCCGAGATTTTATCGCACGGGTGTTGGGAGCAATCGGATGTTTTCAGAGATATTTCCCACGCTTTGAATTTTGACGTTTGTCAATTCGGACATGTCAGTCAATGTATTCCATTCGTGTCATATAAACTCATGAGTCAAATGCCGTTTACCGCACTTGTTGCATAATAGACGCATAAGAAAAAATAAAACATAAAAAAATGAAAACGAAAACCGGAAGTTTCAGATTTTCCGCCATATGTCCGGAAGTAACAAACGTAACTTCATTTTCATAACGGTACATTATTGAACTCACCCATGCGCAACCCTGCCCTAATTTAAGATTTACCGTTACCGAAATGTCAAAGGTGAGAGTCGACTTTGAAACACCCGATATGTTGTCAAAGTCGTTGGTTTTCAGTCACTTTAATTTTAGTGATACTGTATATACAAAGGTTCCAAAAGTCGTGTTTGCAATACATTTAAGTTTTACGTGCAGGGATGCAGTTTCATATAAACTTAAAGTGATGAACAATGGAGAGCAGGTGTAAATTACATTCAGTTTCTCTGTTTCATAATGTAATATGTCCCCAGTGCACTTAAAATAAAATTAGCCTTCGTACGTGCATACTCTGGACGTGGCTATATATACATCCATCGGCCAACTAATCCTCTTATAACATCTATAAACCGTACAATGGAGTTTGCGAGATATTAAAATACTTAAGCTTAAACCTATTTAAATGTCTCTTTGTTATTTATTACCTTTTTATGTTACTTTCTTTATTGGTTTTTGGTTTTCTTTCAATACTATCCTTCTATTTATCTATTTAATTATTTATTTATCTATTTATCTGTAGAAAACTTCATTTATTGCTTGTCAAGGACAGGGTATTTCAGTGTCTAGGGGTGAACATGAACTTTTTGTAATTTTTTTGAATTCCTTTTTTGAAACCATAAGGCTAGGAAAATTTTGTGATACTTTCGGTATTATTTTGTAGCGAAATAAATATTATTATTATTGTTACATAAAAAAGATAAAGATCAAAATAGTAACAAGACATTGTTATATCCTGTGTAAACAATATCCTCGGGTGTGTATGAAATCAAATGCGCAGAAAGTTTTGGATTTTAAGGAGATTTTGATAGAAAGATATCGCAAGAAATCAGAGAGCTCGATTTAGTATATTTAACATTTCTGAAGTTACAGTTTAAAAAACATCTTTTTCGAATCATTTATGAATATCAGGCCACGTATTTGGAATTGAGCCAAATATCAGAGTGCTTGTAATAAGAGAAGAAAGCTGCATTTACTGGAAAAAACTAAACAAACCTGATAAAAAATGCGTTACTATATAATTAATATAAAATTAATATATAATTTAATTTAATTTAATTTAATAATCTTTAATGCCATTTACACAGTAATTAGGATTTGTTTCTCCAATTAATTCTTTATTATGTACATACTTCAATTCAGGGAAATAAACATTTGGCCCCAGGTTTCGAAGTTCTTTCGCATTAGTTTTATGCAGCCAAATTCACTCTGGAAATCACCGGAACAACCTATCAACCATTAACTATTTTAGAATGCAACAGCATGTTATAATAGTCAGATATTAACGATTTCGAAATAAAAGCAAGGTTTTAGTGGGTGAAAGAAGAAATTATTCAAACAAAATGTTGATGAATTCATAATTTTTTTTCATCAGCCTTATCCTTATTTGGTAATTTTGCCTAATTCATTTTGTAACTTTGAACAAATTGTTTAATAAATAACAAAGAATGCATCCTCATACAGTTTTCAGGAGTTATTAAGACACTATTTTGATTTTTATTTAGATTCATTTTAAAATTCACGTCAAGAGTAATCAGCCTGTCAACTAAACCTAACGGTTCGCATTTCACTTTTAATAATGCGATTTTCGCTATAAAGAAATGGAAACACGCATCATTAATGTGTGTTTTTATTGCCCGACGCCTTTGGTCATTAATTAAACGAACGGTTACTCTACAATTCGGGTCGGTTTTGACCCATTTCTTTTAATTAAGTTCGTTCAACCCTGCGCAAACATCATGTCTTCTACGAGTTTCAAAATAAATTTAATCAGCAATATAGGAACAAAACGATTAAAATCATGCACGTACCTGGAGCTTAAGTACGTCGTATCCGTAAGTAGCAGTTGCTGGTATGGCCGCCACAATCGGTCTACCGTAGGACGTAAATTTCGGTGCATTGTCGTTGACATCTGTCACTTTTACCACTACCTTGACTTCGTTTAATCCTGGAAGTAAAGGAATTTTTAGTCTAGACGATATGTAAGAGTGCAAGTTGTCAATTAATGAATGATGAAGAATTTGGACTGTAAAGAAATAAAAAGAAAACTACTAATGTAATAGGGTATATTTATATTTTGGACTGCGGATTTATTAAATGTAAATCATATATATAGTATATAGTGTTGTTATTGCCACCAATTTATTTAAGTAGATATAAAAAATATTGTTCTTAGCAACTAGGTAATGTTACTGAGGCTAATCAACAAAAATGGGCAAACCAAAGTCAACAAAGCAGATAGTGACCGATATAGCAGTAGTGACTTCCAACTATATCGTCCAAAAACAATAACAATTTCACAAGGGAAGTAAAAACCTACAACCTTCATTAAGTATATCATATACCTAACCCTTCTTTCTGTCTAAGACTATTGCCGTAATATTGGTCATGACAAATTGACATTGTCAAAATTTTACCTGGCAACTTGGTAAATAATTTCATAAAATTTATTGTAGTGTCGGTAAATAAAAAAAATTAAGTATGGATTGTACTAAAGTTGAACAAATTCAAATGATTCATAAACTGGATGAGATGGAAAAAAATACTTTGTTGACAGTAAGACTTCACAACTAGACAATAGGATGCTACCATGAGCAAAAAAATTGGAAATTTACTTCGAGTTTAAGATAATCTCCAGGTTAGTGGCTGCCAGAGAGCTAGCCCATGTGATCCATCCCAATCAACCGTTAATCGTACTACTAGAAAACACAAGCAGCATCCCTTCCGTATGGAACTACAGCAAGATCTTCTAGACCGTGATTTTCAACAAAAGATAAACTTCTGCAAAGCTATAAACGAAGCAATACAGGTCGATCCAAATATTCTGTCTAAAATAATGTTTGAATAAAGCTACTTTTCCCAGCAATTAATTTCGCAGTTAAAGTTATTCTGAATTATTTTTTTTCGCGAACTACTTAATGGGGACTAGATTCTAAGAGATTCAGCAAGATAGCACTTCGCATTACTGTCAAACAGAAATGGATCGGTAGATTTTTTTGTGTGAGAATCAGTTAAGAAAATATACCAAAAAGACTAAACATGTGTATCCAAGCGAAAGGGCATATTTTGAAGATTTTGCGCCATAAATTTTACCTAAAAGTAAGATAAATTAATTTTTAGTAGTAGGGATTTTATATTATTTACTTTTTCTGTGAATTTACCCTGTGGCATCTAATGCAAATTCCGTTGCATATGTCCTTTCAAAAATAATAGCAACATCGTAGTTCTTGTGTGAAAACCAGTATATTGTAACTAATAATATAGCATTAAGATTGTTTTTAATTAAACCACCGAACTAATCAGAATCTTTTTTTTTGCGACTTTTTATCTCCTTTTAAAAAATAATAAAATATATAATATAATATAATATTATGTAACTATCACAGCACTATGCAAGATCATAAAATTATGGTTCCTTTTTTTAGGTACATTGATATTTTTACAACATACTGGGAGAATTTTCTGATTTCATTCATATAATTATTCATTTTTAGATTCGCATGACAAGACTGGATTCGATTATAGATGCAATCATATTAACGATGGAAAATGGAGAAAAGAGTGACTTCTAGCATTACTATCAATGTAACTATTAGCAGCATGACTGCTTCCTGTAGAAACGACTGAAACACAATCTTACCCAAATGGCCCAGCTTGTCGTTGGTCACCGGATAGATCATAACCGCCATGTCACGACCCACTTTAAATTGATCCAGACGAATTACAAATTCATATTTCGATCTTTTCTCCCTGTCCGGACTTTCCATAATAAACAGCGTACCGTTCCTGGGATCTATGTGGAACATTCGTTTGATGTCGCTGTTCTTTTCCGCTTCAATTGTGAATCGCAACTTGTGCGATTTATAAGCATCGCTGACGTTCAAGGTCAATAGTTTCAGCGGCACGGGTACATTCTCCTCAACTTCAACTTCGTAATACCGATGATTGAAAACAGCGTTTTCAATAGGTTGATTGTCCTCTGGAATGTCAATGACGCTGACTGCAAAAAAAATAATAATGTTGATTTTAATGATTTTTTAATTATATCACATTTTTTCTACAGCTTATTTCAAATAATCAACGGCTCTCTTTCTGGGTGTTTTTTTATTTATTTTATCCCATATGTCGCCTATTCTGATAAGGCACCGATGAGGCAACTATAAATAAAACATTGACATACAGGCGATTAGCACGAGTCAAAAATTATTCAAAATCACTATCGATCGAAATAATATTTTAGATAATCCAGTATACCTAAGAACTTATGTATATTGAGTATAGGGGATCCTATAAAGCTGCTAGATAAATGAGATATATAGCGTATGGTGTCTTAAAGTGTTAAAAACTATTATATAAAAAATTGTTTGTAACTGTTACATTTACATTACAAATTGAATACATTGAATTCCAAAACTTAAAGTCAGTGTTCCACATGGTACCCATTTTTAGTGATATAAGTTTTTTATATTAGTTCTAACATTCCGCAACGCCGTTTGTATTAAAAAAGAGATTTGTCGAAAACAGTTAGACCTAGAAATCCCCCCACCCCTCTCTCTCCCTGTCTCTCTCTGTAGCTCTACAATTCAGGGTTGGGTGGGTCGTGGGTCTTAGCTGACTTCACATCTGCTGCAATTCAACATAATTTTAACCAATCTCGGCCTTCCCAGCGGTCTTTTCCTATCTACCACCTCTCCCCACACTAGTCGAATTAGACGTTGCTTTGTTGTCGTTTAGCATGCCAGCCCATCTTAGTCTTTGTGATTTTGTTATTCTGACAACCTCTTTACTCCCTAGATAATCCTTAGTCGATTTTCTTTTGTTTCATCAGCGTCCAATTTCATTACACTTTGAGGAGCAAAAACGCAGCAACTGGCGCTATGTATTTGGCACTCTTTATTTTATTTATTGCCTTAGTCATGTCATTGTCTGACATGATAAATATTTACATTCCTGTACTCTTTCAACATTATATTGGTCAGTCTGACTCCTTAAGCCGACCTGCTTAGTAGAACTTTCCAGCTTGATGACTCCCCTTTAACATTGATAGTTGAGTTCATGAGCATGACAGGAGGTTCCTGGTTTCTAAATAGCAGTGCAGTGTTTGTATATTGGCTTTTGGCACTAAACTTTTGTAGGCTAGGCGGTGTTAAAGAGCAGTGGCGACTAAGGTTTCTTGTCCAACTTTGACTGCTCTTCTCGATTCCTCCACGCAAACTACTTAATCCTCGACGTAGGAGCTCAACTCCTCCAGGGAGAGAACTTTCTATCAGCTTGTGAATAGTCATTGGGAGTGCCCTACCCCCTTTCTTAAGGCATTCCGCTGGTATGGTTTCGCTTCCCGGTGCTTTGTTGTTCATCAGGTTAAGAGTTGCCAATTTCAATTATTACCGGTGTTTCCACTAAGACCTCGGTTCCATAGTAGGTGAGCTTATTTGTTGTATGATTTGTCTGTATATTAAGCAATTTGGCGTAGTACTAAGTCCAGGTATCTACTACTTACTTATAGTTGACTATACGTTTTCCCTGGTCAATTTGCATAACCTATTCAGTTTGAGGTCTATACCATTTTCTTATTTTATTCACCTCCTTGAAAAATTTTCTTGCTTCCTTTTTTCTATTTATGTGCCCGCTTTCTATTCCCTATAGTTATTCTTGCCATACTTCTAGTAAGTCTGTATTGTACATTTTCTATATTTTGTATGGCCGTCAATGTGGTCTTTATAGCCGCCTGATATTTTTTTTATAATAGGGCAGCGGTGTTTTCCAATAAATCGAAAACACCAATAATATGCAGACGAACGGAACGCTGTATATATAATTCATAACCAAACTGGATATCCAACTTGCTTATTATAACTAGGAAGTGTCGTATAAAGCGGTTTGTGGAATATTTATAATTATTGCAGACAAATCATAAACGAGTGTAAAACAAAGCGGTGAAGAGATGTTGCTGCTACTCAATATTATCTAGCTCAATAAATATTAAACATAAGTCAACAAACGCTTTGAACTAGCAAAGATAAACGGAGGACATATCGCGGGCTTACGAATGACGTATATCGGGTAATACTTAAACTTCTTCCTGAAATCTTAAACTCCCGAAATCCGTCTACGTTTGTTTTAGAATCGGGAGTATTACGTTTACCAAACAGCGACATTGTCTCTTTTACTACCCACTAAGTAAAGTCTGAAACAGATTGATTATTCTTTTTTATATTAAGTTACTCGCTCGGTTTTCCTTCCTTTATTTTTTTAATGTCAACTGCATGACTATCAACTTTTTGATAAAACTCTCTCCCGTTGTAACACTTGTGATTTGGTAGTAAACTTCTACTCGAAATTATCCTTTGTTCCTCATGTTAATAAGGTAATGACTGATGCCTCAAAAATCCTTATATTTTGTACATTTTGTACGTTGCATTTCAGATTTCAGCCATGCAGAAGTAATAAAAATATTATGTAACTCATACATCAAATTAAATTAGAGTATGCTTCAGTGGTTTGATCTCCTGGGTGAAATTGCCAAATTAATAGCCTAAAAAAATCAGTTTAAGTTTTTGAAATATGCGTGGTATAAGTTGGATGCAGACAAGGAGCGTACAATATTATTAAATAGATTTGGTTATGTGTGATAGCCATGTTTACCATTATTTAATGCCCTTATTTACAATTATAAATAACTTACTTTTTACAAAACTTCTGAATTCCTCGTGCGTCGGTTTTTGCTAAGTCGAAATTGCTGACGTTTTGCCAATTATTCTCTTGGCTTCTTCAGAGCTTGACTGAAACTGACTGAAGAAGCCAACAGGATGACTGGCGAAACGTCAGCAATTTCGACTCAGCAAAAACCGACGCAGGAGGAATCCAGAAGTTTTGTAAAAAGTATTACAGTAGCCTGTAGAAGTTTCTTTGAAAAAATATAAATAACTTGTTTGATTGCGATAACATATTATATAGAATATTTTTTTTGTTCCCCGTATTAACTCTAGATGTAAGGGGTGTTTTTTTTTCGATGTATAGAAGTTTAAGTTGCAATAAAACAATGAAGGATTATTCGATTGACACGAATTTTATTGATCCGAAAGATAATCTTGTGGCATTACATTTTAAATATGATTTCTGGCATATGACCGCCACAACTGGCGCGGATGTAGTCCAATCTGGACGTCCAATTTTCGAAGACTTTTTCCAACATTTGTGGCCGTATATTGGCAATAATACGACGAATGTTGTCTTCCAAATGGTCAAGCGTTTGTGGCTTATCCGCATAGACCAATGACTTTACATAGCCCCACAGAAAGTAGTCTAGTGGTGTTAAATCACAAGATCTTGGAGGCCAATTCACAGGTCCAAAACGTGAAATTAGGCGGTCACCAAACGCGCCTTTCAATAAATCGATTGTGGCACGAGCTGTGTGACATGTTGCGCCGTCTTGTTGAAACCACATCTCCTGGACATCATGGTCATTCAATTCAGGACTGAAAAAGTTAGTAATCATAGCTCTATACTGATCACCATTGACTGTAACGTTCTGGCCATCATCGTTTTTGAACAAGTACGGACCAATGATTCCACCAGCCCATAAAGCGCACCAAACAGTCAGTTTTTTTGGATGTAACGGTGTTTCGACATACACTTGAGGATTAGCTTCGCTCCAAATGCGGCAGTTTTGTTTGTTGACGTAGCCATTCAAACAGAAGTGCGCTTCATCGCTAAACAAAATTCGCTTATGAAAATCGAGAACAACGGCAATCTCGTTTTGGGCCCATTCGGCGCATCTATGCCTTACTTGATGATCGTTTTGCTTCAATTCTTGCACGAGTTGGATTTTGTAAGCACGTATACCAAGATCATTCAGCCAAATCTTCCATAAAGTGGATGAACACAGATCCAATTCCTGTGCTCGATGGTGGATGGACTCATTCGAATCTTCTTCAATGCTACGCTCTACAGCAGCAATACCTTCTTCTGTACGCACCGTACGGCGTCTTTGGGGATGCGAGTTATAAATAATAGTAAACGTGGTGCGAAAACGTTCCATGGTTAATCGAATTATCTGCTCTGATGGACGATTTTGTCGACGATAAAATGGACGTAGTGCGCGATACGTATTCCGCACAGAACCATTATTTTCGAAATAAAATTTCGCAATTTGCAAGCGTTGTTCAGGTGTGAGTCTATTCATGATGAATTGCCAAACCAAACTGAGAATAAATCACTCGACAGCTGTTAAATCGGTCGCCATCTTGAACAGTAATGCCAGCTTAAAGTTCTACACATCGAAAAAAAAACACCCATTAGTAACACAATCTTTCTGTCCACAAAAATATTTTAAAATTTTCACATATGTTCTGAATGTTCTCCAAATTACAATGCTAGACCTGAATTGGATTTCTCGCAATCTAATAATAAAGTAAAAACGTATTTTTCCCCATTAACTGTAATAATAAATTTCAGTGTTTTTCTCCTTTCATGTTAAAATAGATTGTAGGTTAAATTTCCATCCAATGTTTCTGTAAAAATTATACTAGTTTGTATATTACCCATTACATGGGCTTCATGTCCGTTAGGTATATTTCTTAAATAAATAAATGTACAAAAAAACTATCCCACATATGTCAAAAATTATATACTCTGGAAATTGAAATGTATGATAACAAAGAAACCGATGGTGAATTTGATAATCTTTTAGACTCGCTAGAATAAGTTGTTAAAAGCAAGAAAATATTAATCTGCTAGCTGATTATATGTCTGGAGATTGCTGGCATTTTAGGCTGACTTTCGTCTTAGCCATGTACATCTTTAACGCATTAGCTTGGAAGAATGAGGTTTTAAGAAACAGTTGAAACGTAAACTTCGACCCATCCATGAAGATCTGACTAAGACTGGCCATAATCTTTAGAAAGAAAATTTGGAATTATCAAGGGGACAAAAAAGTTGTAGTGCATTCCTTAAGTGATCTAGATTAACGTTGACCAACAGAAGGTTCTTTTTTGCAGATCTTGTCTGGAAACATTTTGATTTGTAGTTTATCCGTACTCATCTTGGAGTTTTGTGACAGAAAGTAATATCAGCTTTGTGAACTTTAGTCATTGTATTGTGCGCTGACTTTGTTGTAGTTTTAATCATTTTTTTAAACATGCGAATACCGAAAATGTTGATATCATCGGAGAAACCTGACTGAAAGATATATTACTTGGTTTTTTGGTTAATAAAACTGGTTACAGCGCTCGTGGAGGGTGAGTATTTCATTATATCAAAAAATTGTACAAATATAAGTATTTTAAAACCCCACCTGAATGCTCACTACTCGACCACGAGTAATATTACATGGAAAAAATGGATTTAAGTTGCACGTTTCCATATTTCCTACCGCAGACTACAAAACTGTAGTCTGCGGTAGGAAATATCTTCGTTCACTTCCTGTAGTAATGTAATCTTGAATGGATGATACTTCTCTTCTTTTAACACGTGCGAAGTTGTTCCTTGGTCAACATAATTATTTGAAGCTACTTCAGAAAATGCACGATGAAGATTATCCTCAACTTCTAATAAAATGTTTAATCTTGCATTTTTATGAGTTTTTGGATGATCTCGCAGCAAACGACCCTTTACATGCTCTGTTTGTACACATTGTTTCTCAATTTAACTCACTGCGGGTCTTGTAATTGGTCTTTCTAGATATGTCTAAAAAAAATTAAGATTCTCTGAGTTTCATTTAAATTCTGATTTTATTTTCCTATGCTCTCCCAGCTGAGCGATGCAGTTAAATCGGATTGGGGCTTGTTTTCAAGTATACTTTCTTTTTCAATACTTCAAAATACTAATCCTACTTATGACGAGTTCATAAATCTTATCTTGCAGTTAACTCAAATCGGTATACCAAGTCGGAAAAGGGAATCATAAATATGGCCTACACTGGTGGGACGAATGGTCCAACCGATGAAAACTTCATAAATGTCAACAAGAATAAGGTACTTTGAACAAGGACTCTTCGAGTTAGCAGAAAAAGCCGAATAAAGGGATTATTACTGCATATGATAATTTTAACATTAACTGTTTTTATAGGGCTATGGCTGTGGGATATTGGAATTCTGCAAGAGGAGAGGAAACTTGTGGGTCGGAACTCCTCCACTTCTTTTCGGCGGGGCCTTGCCCTTTTTGTTAGTCCTTCCAAGTCATCCGCTGTAATTCTTTCTAAAGAGAAAACTTTATTTACCTTTTCGTTTCTGTCAGTTTGGGGGTAGTCTTTAATTCTAAAAAGTTCTGGCCTTCGCAGGAGGAAATGATAATTGCTAAGGATTATTTTTTCTATATGGCCTTTCTTAGGTCTCATTTAGAATATGAGTCCATCATCATGGGAAACTGTTTGCATCCAGTTGTTCATAAATTCAATTCAATAAAGTTCAATACGGGGCCAAGGATTGATCTTGGATTTATGAAATCTACTACCATGGGTAGAATGCCATATCTGGCGCTCAAACTTCTTCCTAAGTCTTATATTGTTAAGAATAGTTCCTTATGTACTGCTCTTTGTGAGCTCTATGTGTGTATGCAACAATATTATATTATACGTTTGATTAGTTGATAACTAACATAACGTTTTTTCCTGCTTCCAGGTTGATCTGGAATCCCAGATGTGTGCATTTTATGGATTCTGGTTTTTCTAAGGATTATCTCATTGAGCCGCTATTTCAGGAAAAGTAGGTGGACCTCTGAGCATTTTTATGTTTTAAAGATGTCTCTAAATGAAAATATGATAGGGTAGAAAAAGAAGTATTTATTCGACATCTTAATATTAAATCAGCGTTTGGGGTTGACAGCTATTTTTACATTTATATGTCTGACCGATGGCATCTAATCTTTCACTACAATCAATATGGACTCATAAATTAAAGAGAGCTGTCATCACCTCTGATTCAAAGAGTGTCAACTAACTTTAATGCAAAAACAGGTAGGATGGTTATAGAAGTTAAAATTAGATTAAAAGTCCTGTATCACTAGTTCCGAATGTTTCTTTGCTAGGTTCCTAGCCTTGCTGGTATTAAAAATAACGAAACTGTGGATTGTATGGCCAATATGGCTAGGGAGACTTTTGACGAACCCTGTATATTCTGTGACCTCCGAAAAAAAATGCACAAGAAAAAATTATGGACGTGTGTGACCATTTCTCCTGATTTTTAAATGAATTTTTTGCATATTATAGCCGTTCACTGTTCACAACGTAGCAATCTTACAAATGTGTTCAATACTTACTCATGAGTAACGCAGTCGAGCTCATACTAGGAGAGCCCAGATCCGAAGCAATGATGGTGACGTTGTGGACCTTCTTAGTCTCATAGTCAAGCTTTCCAATGGTCGTAACAATACCTTCCTTGGAATCAACAGCGAACAAATTTGGCTTGCCCTTGCGGAATGGTATGTCAAACAGTATTAGTCCATTGCCGTTGCCTGTGAAATCCGAGTCGTTGGCAAAAACTCTAGTAATTGGTGTACCTGGACAAAAAAAAATAACGTCCACATGAAAACATTACGAAATCCGAAAAGTTATTTACCAACGGGACTATTTTCTGCTGCAGTGGCGTAGTAAACTGGAATCTTCTCCTGGTAATTGTGATTGGAATGGGTATTGGCTTCGGCATTCACGGTAAGCTCGTCATATCCGTAGAATATTGGCGGATTATCGTTGACGTCCAATACGTTCACGTCTACATTTACAGAACTGCTAAGCGATTTGCCGTCTGAAGGATTATCCTTCGCTATTACCACGAACGAGTACTTATCTCTGACTTCTCTATCGAGAATACCGTCAACGCTTAGATATCCCGTGTAGGTAGATATCGTAAAAGGAATTCTAGAAGCGTTTTCTGTTTTAATAGAATATGAAATATTTGCATTGGGTCCGTAGTCAGCATCAGTAGCTTCAATTTTTCCTGCAATTAAAAATATACTTTTTAAACTGCCGCTGGCTCAAGATTATTATCTTCTAGATTTTCTTTGAAGCCAGTGGAGTATATCGCATAGTATATCACCTTGACTTTGAACAGATCGTCCGCCAGATAGTTAGTGCCACTTTTAGACCTATTGTTGCTGGGTTAACTCAATAAATAATAATTTATTCATGCAATGGTGCAAATAGTATAGTATATTAAGAGCTAACCAAGAGTGTTGTATACTATACTTTTTCTACGACCTTTAGTTTTTTTTATTTCCATGCATTTGGAGGGGCCAGTGATATAACTTTTTTATAATATTTAATCATATAGCTATTAGATAATAGGGTGACCCTACTATTGTAAAAATTGATGCGCCGCACAGACGTTGCTCACCTGGACAAAATGATTAGCTTGATATTTTTGAAAAAACAATTTTTTAAATAAATAAACTGATGAAACTTGGAATATTTAATTCCAAAGAACTCAGTAGACATGTCTATATGTATACAAAGCTGTTGTGTTGCATACATGTTTAATTTATTATATTTACAATTAGACAACAACAGTTTGTAATGCAAACTATAAGTAGAAGAATATATTTATATCACTTTATGAAAAATTACACAGGTGCCTATATAAAAAAAAAAACGGGTAGTATCATCTTCTCAATTGGCTGGATTGGCAGGTATTGGGGTATTTGGGTCGTGTGGCAAACTTGAGGTTCGGTTAAACAATTTATTTTCAAATTTTTAGCAATATATCCACGAACATGGCACATGCAAGAATTTGTTAGCGCTCCCTGAATCATAGGTATTCTAAAAGCTTGGAATCGCTTGGTTAAATTATTCCAATGTCTTAAACCTTCTTCACATACCTTACAAACAATATGTGGCCCCAAGATTTGTCTTCATCACCAAGTTTTATTGCAAAATAAACGTAATATTATTTTTTAGATGGGGGTGTAAAACTATGTCTAAATTTCTTAACCACAAAAGAACCACAAACTTAGCAAAACGTGTGTGGAATATTTTTAAAAAATCTTGGCAGAAACTACATTTTGCTTTCGGGGATTCCCCGCCAACATTCTGTTAATGTGTGCAAAATATATCGGCGGAGCAATTTCGATTTGTAGAATGTTAAGTAATGATCGTATTTTTAAAACAATAAATATGACATCTCAAAAATTAATTCAAAAATGTTGGATGACAGAAACAAAAGAACATAGATATATCAAAGTAAACCATTTGATTCACATCAGCATTTTACAGCATTGTTTTAAAAAGCCCTTTTCGTTTCAATCAACACAATGAGAAATTATTATTTACCAGGCTGATATTACATATCAAATTGTTTGAAAACTAATATCTGACTGCAGATAAAAAATTGTAGATTCATTTTTAATGCGGAAAAATGTCGGTAATTTCAAAGTCTTCAAATGTCTCTAAACGTGCTGTAAAGAGAAGATTACAAAAATATGTGTATAAGTCTAGGAGACTTCTAAAAACTACTTCCAGGAATTAAAAAACGAATTTAAAAATATCAAAAGAAAAATGCTTTTTCCAAATAAGAATAGAAAGGCCCTAATAGAGAAAAATGGAATACGGTTAATAGTAACTTTAAATATAGTATAAAATAGTAAATATAAAAATTTGTATCAATATGTAGTTTTCAACTACTACTAAACAACTACTTGTAAAAAGTCTGCTTTGTTTTATGAAAATACTTATTAATGTATACTAACGAAGTTCAATTCAAAGTTGCTCGAAAACTATAACAAACTAACTATGACAAAATCAACTCGGTTTAAACTCATTATTGAACTAAAATTACTTGCCATTGAGAGGTGTTTTCCAGCCCCCTTAAAATATTTAGAAATATCAAAATTAAGATGAACTGGCGAGGCCATTATTCTGACGTTGACGTTTCGACACTGTCAATTTACTTCTCGAAAAAACTATTTTATTGATTCATATTTTCCGTTAGCGCTTAGTCCTTATAATCAAAACTTAAATTTCGTTTTTCCGAACACTTTGGTCTTGTGGATGAAATGGTAGAAATTGAACGCAAAGTGATCAATTCCTACTACGAAACAAGGAGGAAGCAACAGAATGGTCTGGGGATGTTTTTGTCAACATGCGACAAGGCCAATCATTCATGTACAGGGCGAAATGGGCCGACTTAAATACAATACAATACTATAAATACAATATTAGAGAATACAATCCTACCGTTTTTAAAAGGAAGAGAGACCAGCGCGATTACGATTTCAATCGGAAACAAGCATACAAGTGAGTAAATGATTGGTTTGGATAGAAAAACAAAACTGTGGTTAAACGGCCCTCCCTCAGTCAGTCAATTCAATTTCAATGTAAAAAATCAATAGAAAATCTTTAGTATAATTGAATCCGAGTGGTCGCAAATTCCTGCAGAAACTCTACAAAAAATTATTGATTCCCTATGTTAGAAAATGTGCCTTAAAAAATGTTTTTCCATAGAATAATAAAAGTTTCCCCTTTTTTTTTACAAATTAAAATTTTTAAAATTTAAAAATATCAATTTCACCGAAAATAGTTCTTTTTAAAATTACCCAAACCATTTTAACCTAAACCTACTTCATCTTCAGTGAGTCAACGTCAGTTCATGATCTGATTGGTTTCAAAAGTTATGGTAATATGGTAAATAGGAAAGTTAGAAAAGTAATAAAACAATTTAGAACTAATTTAGAGTATATAGGGTGGCTCAAAAATATGACGAATAAAGCATGCATTTTTTTAAATGTTTTCCAATGAAGCTACTTTTCGCCATGATGGTTCTGAGTTCTGGGTATAGAAAGTGCAAAACCAAAACCATTGGCCACTTAATGTGTGGTATGGAATAAAACAATTTAAAGTCATTGGACCATATTCTTTTCGCGAGATGAGGCTCCTCCGCATTACCATCGAGTTTGAGAATTTTTAAATAATAATTGCCCACAGAAATGGTTCGGTAGAAGTCGATTCATTCGATGGTTACCTCGATCATGTCATTTAACGCCATTAGATATCTTTTTGTAGGAATATGTTAAAGATCGTGTTTATGTGAATCCTCCTACAACACTATAATAGATGGATAATAGGATTATCGTTTATATTAAGCATCGTCCAAGAAAATATGCGAAAAAGACTAAACATGTGCATCCAACTAGAAAACAATATTTTTTAACATTTATTTCGCCCTAATAATAATTAGAAACAAGATAAGTTAATTTGTAGTAACAGGCATTTAATATTATTTGCTGTGAAATTGAAATTTGGCCGTTACCTTCACCAAAATTGCTGTTGCTTTATCTACAGCATCAACAAAGTTCTTAACCCTTAAGTGGTGTACTGGGGTCAAGGCTGGCCCCAAGCGCAATAAATCTTATAAAAATCCCTTACATTTGGCAACACGGTGTCGTTCCATTCAATAGCCGCATCAGTCGACGTCGCTTAGTTGATGCAAATCTATAGGGTGCACGTTGTGGTAATACGTCGCGTTGGCACTGACCCAACATACTAGTTACGTTAGTATTTCTGATCAAATATGGCGAGCAAATTTTTAACTGATAAAGAGCTTGAAGCTATTCTTATAAACGACAGTGATCTTGAAGAAGGGTCAAGAGTAACTGGAGATTTCGAAGACTCAGCTAGTGATCTGTCTGATGCTGAAAGCCAATGCTATGCTAAATATCTCGAAAAAAATTTAATTTTTTACTTGGAAAAGCCCTGATACAAGAACATCTTCAAGAACGGCTCTGACTGAATATCCCTAGGGAAATAAAAAAAATAATAAGAAAAGTACTCGGTATAGCAGAACAAAGTCAACCCGACGCCACTGATTTGGAACCTCGTCCTCAAAAAAGAATGAGACGCTCTCTATGTCCACGATCAAAAAATAGAAAGTCTTCAATGTCTTGTTCAAAATGTGGAAAACCCGTTTGCAAGCAACATTCTGAACAGAGATTTGTCTGCAACGCCTGCACTACAGCATTGGAAATGTAAGAGAGAACGTCACTGTCATTTTCTTTATTAACATTCTAATAACGTTTTTCTTTATTACAGCTGGTCTGATGAAGCCTAAAGAACCGATATTACGCCGGTTTGGAAGAATAAAAATGTTAGTTTGAGTTCTGGTTGCCTATTTTGAGGATGCCTGTAAATATTTTGTTTATTTTCTTTTATTTCAATAATGTTTTTGATTTTTTTTACTAAATAAATATTTTAAAATTTTGTACGGTATTATAACACTTTCCAATATTACGTTACCTTATTTCTTAAAAAAAAAACATATTTCGCGTTCTAATTTCCTCGTATATCAATTTTAAATTGGGGTCACCAGCGACACCGTAATACCAGCTACGTTATAAAAAAATTGTATACCAGTTGTTGGCTAATTGTCTAATATTATAGCAATATATCAAATGCCTATTTTTAATACTTGACATTTTATTTTAACTTTTCCAGCATTTATCCTTCTTTCTGTTTAAGACTGTTGCTATAAAATTGGCCAGGACAAAATGATATTGTCAAATTTTTAGCTAACAACTAAGTAAATAATTTCATAAAAAATATTGTCGTGTCGATAAATGAAAAAAAAAAGCAAAAAGAAAGAAACTATGGATTTTCCTAAATCTTAACTAATTGATATAATTTATAAACTGGGTAAGTCAAGTACAAATATTATCTTTTCAATATGAAAATATACTAAAAACTTTTTTTTGAACAATTTTTTTGTCTAAAATAATGTTTTTCCGATGAAATAAAACACTTTCAGGTTATTGTACCACATTTTTTTCGCTAAGCACTTAAATGGCCCAGTATTTAAACTTTTTGCAGAAAAATTTACCTCAACAAATGTGGTTCCATCAAAATGAAGCTCCACTGCATTTCCATGGCCAAGTTCGAGAATTTTTAAATAGCGATTATCCACAGAAATGGATCGGTAGACGTGGATTCATTGGATGATTCCCTTAATCACTGAACCTAACTGTATTTCTTTTTGTGGGGATATGTTAAAGGCCGTGTTTATGTGATTCCCCTTACCTGACGATATGGAAAATAGCATTCGTGACCCGTACAGGAGAATAACTCCGTTTATGCTAAGACACGTTCAAGAAAATATACGAAAAAAACTAAATACTCATAGGTATCCAAGTAAATATAATATTTATTAATTTGAAGTAATAGGTATTTAATATTATATACCTTTCTTGTGAGTTGAAAATTAGGACACCATTTCCACCGAAATTACTAATAAGTGTATGTTGCTTTCTCTACGGCTTTAAAATAGTTCTTCCTCCTGTTCATTTTCATTCATTTTTTAATCTGAACAATGCCCTGTTAGCTAATAGTTTTTGTCTTAGACAGAAAGGAGTGTAAATATTGAAAAAATTAAAATAAATCTAAAAGTATTAAAAATAGGTATATGATATACTCAATAAAAGATCTTTCAGCGCCTACCACACCGAAACATTGAAAATTTAATTCAAACCCTTATTTTGATTTTAACAATTTAGAATCATATGGTGTCGTACATGTATTCGTAATAAAAAATGCTAATTAATACATGGTGTAGTTTTTTCACGAAAACTGGCTGAACTGGAGCTGAAAAACTGGCAATGAGAAAGCGACTTTTATTTTTCTCTTTAAATGATACCAGAAGAAATAAAAGCGAAAGGGTCTAAATTCGTTTTTGTAGCGTATTTTCGGCATTAATGAGATTTTAACCTTAAAATTTTGATTTTTTCTAATTTAACCATCTTCGTATCTCTTATGGTTTCCAACACTGTATAATATTTAATCTTCGTATTTTTAAGACAGCTTAAAAGTTTGATGCTCTATAATGCAATACCGACAGTTATCAGCCAAGATGATATACTTTGAGACAAAGTATACAGGTTTTCTAGCACGATATATCAGCTAAATTCAGACATATAGAAAGTTCACTATAGTCGTATTAACTCACCTAATATTTTTCTGGTATAGGCAGCTTCCTCCGTGTCAAAATTGTACCAAGACTTCTTAAACACTGGCGTGTGATCATTAATATCTTTAACCATGATCCTAATTACTACATTATCTTTTAACATCCCTTTATCCGAAGCTGACACGTTTAATCTGAATTCAGATTCTGGGGGCAGAACCCTGGCCACTGAAATTTCTCCATTGATCGGATGTACCATAAAATACTGGATCAAATTGAACGGTTCGGAAGTACGTTCACTCGGGATGTACGTTTCCGATACCATTTCGTATTTTATCTTGGCGTTTTCTCCAGCGTCCTTGTCTTCTGCTATAAGTCGTAATACTGAGGTTCCTGGAAAAAAATTTCTACCTCAGCTGGCACCATGATTACTGACAAAACCGCAAATTTTAATCTATGAAAATTAATCTGGAACGATTACTCAATAAAAAATAATAACTAAAAGTATGCAGGTCTATTTTGAAATTTTCGTAGATGTAAGAATGCTTGGATTCTCGCATCCAGTTCTCGTTCATGTGTGTGGTGGGTATTTAATTTATATTGATCTAATGGTACCATTATAGGCGAACGAATCACCCGTTTTTTTAAAAAAATTATGCTTTCACAAATGATACTGCAGAATTCGTGCGTATTGCTCTTTTCGGATTTTTAATATTGTAATTTTTTCTATTTTATAGTTTATATTTTGTGCGAACCAAAATTAATGTAAAAAAGTTAAAAAAAAATCGAAATTTGAAATAATAAACTAGTGGTACAATTAGACATTAATCATTAGAAATGAATTAGATGAAATTAGAAAACAATTAGACATTAATAAACAACCCACAAAGTGAAAATTTTTTTCAAATTCCAGGAAGTCCTTTTAATCATATTTTAGGTTAGGATAGACATAATGCGACTTTCATTGTTGTTGTTAGGCCTTTATGCGACTATCTAACGGCATAAAAACATCAGATCGATGCATTTTTTTTTTATGGGAAAATATGTATTTTTTAAGATTATGTCACAAAACGCCTCTTGGTGCCACGGTAAGCAAAAATGGAACAAACAAAATTAGGACAAAATAGATTTGAATTTGTTTCTCTACTTACTTTTTCTGTGACACATTAGACATTAGAAATTTCTGTAGAGACCTACTTTTAAAATTCGAGTTAACAATTACATCCCTGATGGTGTGATGGACTATCGGTTTGCCTAAGTTTTTTCAAAGGAACTTCCACAGACAATTATGATGAGAGGGTGGTTCCAGATTCTCGGACTTTAATTATATCTGAAATAATGTTGAGAGTTTCAAGGATTTTGGTAATGAGGGCCTCTATGTCGAATATCGTTTGAGTTGCAATGTCAATGTTGACATGTCTGATTTTATTTTTTTAGGAGATAATTAGTTTCTAACTCAATGGTAAAAGGTATGTTAGTATTTAGAGAATTTAAATGGCTAAGAAAAGTCGGTCCAAAAATCATAGAATCATCTGCACTTCTCTCGAACTATTTCCACACAAGAGATATTAGGCGTTCCATCACAGATTACACATCAAACAAAGTTGTTAAGAAATAAAACGTAGAAACAAGATGTACCACTAATTTCTCAAGAGCCTGCGGAAGGCTACTGTAAAACTATTTACAAAATTTCTGGATTCCTTCTGCGTCGGTTGTTGTTGAATCGAATTTGCCGACGTTTCGTCAATCATCCTGTTGGCTTCTTCAGAGCTTCAAAATAACCAAACGCAGTGAGAATCCGAAAGTTTTGTAAATAGCAGATTTACCACTTGTCCAAAAATCTCTCAACGTATTCGATACTAGTGATTCAAAATTTCCGGAAAAATTGGTTGTCGGAAAAAAACCGGGTTTTTTTCCCGGAAAAATTGGGAAAAAACGGAAAATTTGGGAAAAATCGAATCTTTTTTGGAAACGAAATCCACAAGCATTTTAATATCCAGGGAGGTTTACGCGTTAAATATTATTCAACAATAAACAACACTGAAAACTTGTTCACCAGTGAATCCCCTACACATTAACGCGAAACAAATCTGATTGAGTCCGATAAATACCTATTATCAGAAGTGATTTTTGTTTTTAAGTTGATAGAAGATGCAATATATGGTATTCCCGCAAATACTGATGGCCTGTCCTGCCTGACTAGAGAGAACCTATTAAAATATGTAAAAGAGCGCTTCGATTTTTGTTGTAAACCTATTCATTTTGCAGCAAATCTTCTTGATTCCCGTTTTAAAGGGAAGCAAATAAATGAAGACCAAGTTATATTGGCAATTGATTTTATTTCGCAAATGTCTCAAAAAATAAATACAGGATAAGTAATGGCAAATTTAGCCCACTTCAGAACTGAAACGAGATTTTTTAGTAGGAATTCTCTATGGGAATCTGCGAGCAGTACTTATCCAGTTATATGGTGGCAGGGGTTGTGTACCTAGCAGCCACTTATGCCAATTGCTTTCAAAATTTTAAATGAACCTTCATCGTCCGCTTCGTTAGAAAGAAACTGGTCTTTGCATGGTGTTATTCATACTAAAAAAAGAAATAGACTGACACAAGATAAGGTACAAAAACTTGTTGCAATTCAGTCTACTATAAATTTACAAGAAAATGACAAATTTGCCTACGATCCTAGGCCAGTTCCGCTTTTGCAGCGGGCTGAAATGGATATCGAATTAATTGGGAATCAGAACCAGATTCTTTCTCCGAAGACTCGGACCTTGACGATGAAACCCCTTTAAGTGTACTGGCTTTGCAGAAATGACGTTTTTTTACTTGCATTTTGCGTTCTCAGTTCTTCTTCTTTTTTTTTGTTTATGATGTATTCTAGAGTTTATGTTTTGTTAACCAAAGAGTTCTTATTTGATTTTTTTTATTATTTTGAAATAAAGTAGGCATCTTAATTTTTGTTTTTTTTTATTGAAGCAACTTGTACTAACCAATATGCATTTATTACGTAATATATTAACTCGTTTAGCTGTCTGGAATTTAATTTTAAAAAAGTCAAATTTTCCGTTTTTTTTCAATTTTTCCGAGGTTTGGGAAAAAAACGGAAAAAACCCGTGTTTTTTTCCAAATTTTCCGTTTTTTTTCCGAACCGTTAAAACTCTATTCGATACGTCAAAGACAAAATTCCGTTTGAGATACCAGGAGGATATAGCATACGCATAAGCATAAGAGCAAAGAATGCATACAACTAGGTTAAAAGAAACGAGAAAGAGCCTTAAAACTACCGGACATCAAAACTCATAGCTAAAACTCTTGCAACCAACTAGAGAAAAATTGGAGAATCCATGGAAATCTCTAAAAAGCAAACAACCTTAACAAACGATATGTAAGTAGGTACAGAGTGGAATGCACGCCAATTTCAGTTAAGCTCTGAGAAGCCAAGAGGATGATTGTCAAAATGTCATGAAGTTCGATTTATCAATAACCTACTCAGAAGGAATCCAGAATAGTATCCGTTGCCATTAATGCGATATATATATATATATATATATATATATATATATATATATATATATATATATATATATATATATATATATATATATATATATATATATGTATATATATATACACAAAACGGTAGTCGTGACCGGCTAGTTGAACAACAAATTTTAGTTAATTGGGGTATCGGTCCTGATGACGGCTCAAATAAAAGGCTTTTGTGCTACACCAAGCTTTCGAAAATGTTTATTTTCTTCTTCAGGGGCTACAATATGAAAGCGGCTCTTAGTTATTTAATACTAAAGTCTTATAGTTAAAGTAGTTACTGCTACAGTGCCATTATAGGCCAACACCAAACTCATCCGGATAACAGAAAGAATCAAATACGACCGTTAATTATTATAACCGAGGGCAGCCATCTAGACGAAATTGTTATTACATTTTATTTAAACGAATTTTACTTCAAACGCAAAACGCAAATGATGGAAAGGTTTTATTAGTATGACCACCGCCAGCCGTCCAGTTTTTTTCCCTTTCTTTTTTTTCCCCTTTTTGTTACCTCCTTTTTGCTTACAAGGCACCTAATGTATAGAGGCTTGGGACTATTTTTCTAAATTATAATTACATTGTGACGACACTATTATCAGCAAACGCAATTCGATTGACGGTTGGTTGTAAAGTTAAGACATTAGAGTAGATCACACTGAGGCCATCAATGTCAGATCTTTTATTGACCGATTTCGGTTCCAAGAAAATCTCCACCATTTCCAAAGTTGCTCTTTTGTTGTAGTTGCTTTCTTTATGGAGAATTTTTGTTTCAACAAAGTTAACATCGTGATCCATTTAGTTAGAGTGTGTTGCTAATGAACAGGTGTTCTTATTGAGTCTGCAATCACTCTTGTGTGACGTAATTCTATCTTTAAGTACTCGCGATGTCTGTCCTATGTATACCTGATCACACTGATTACAGGGGATGCTATAAATTACTTCTGAATTCTTTTGTACCTCATCCTTATCTTTTAGTTTGCTAAAAACACTCCCCAATGTTTTTGTTTGTTTATATGCTATCTTAATATTTGTTTGTGCTCTCAGAATTTTTGTGAGTGTGGTCGTTAATTCTTTAATGTATGGCAATGAAAAATAAAAACATCTCTGATCGTCCATTCCTGGGCTATCTGAGTGGACGACCGTGTTCCGTGGGTTTGGAGCTCTTAGTGGGGTCGTGCTATATAACAATTTTTTAGTTAACCTACTTGGGTATGAGTTGTTAATCAGCATGTCGTAAAGCTTATTAAGATTTTTTTGTCTTAGTGATGGGTGAGAGATCCTCTCGATTCGTGTCTTTAATGCTATGACCAAATTTATTTTTGTTTTCGTTGTATGGTAAGAGTGGAAATTCATATATCTCCCCGAACTGGTCGATTTTATGTACCAATCTAATATAATTTTGTTATCGTTGTTCCGGATCACTTTAGTGTCCAGAAATGGTACGCTTTTATCAATTTCCTCCTCTACTGTAAATTGTATGTGTGCATCATAGCTGTTAAACACTGTGAGAGTTTCCCTCACGCAACTTTCAGGTATGGAAGTAATTATATCATCCACATATTTTTTCAGAAATGGTAACTGAAACGACAGCTTATCTACGCACACCTCAAGTAGGTCATCCATAACGTATTGAGCTAATATTGGAGAAATGATGGCACCCATAGGTGTACCTAATTTTTGTTTGTAAAATTCATTGTTAAATCTAAAATACGTTGTATCAAAGACAAACTGAAGTATCTTTAGGAAACTAATTTGTGACAAATCAGTGTGGTTTCTAATTCTGTTCCAATGTTTTTTTATACTTTTTTCTACCAAATTATATGGAATATTACTAAATAAAGAGACGACATCCAAGCTCACAAGAACATACTTATTAGGTAATTGTTTGTCATTGATAAATGAAGAAAACTCAAATGAATCACCTGTGAAATAATCATTATTCTTATTATATGCTTTGGTTAAAACCTGAGTCAACAATGAAGCCAGTTTACTGTTCGGAGCATTAATTGATGAAATTATCGGTCTTAAGGACAATTGGGGTTTATGTATTTTGGGTAAGCCATAAAATTTAGGACAAGTTTGATTATATATATTTAAAGTTTTGGCTACCTCATTTGTTAATTGTTTTTGATCTTTTAATGATTTGACAAGTTTGTTAGCTTTTTGTTGGTAAGTAGATGTAGGATCGCATCTGAGACGCCCGTAATAGGTCCGATCCATCAGAATTTCGTTTGATTTTTGAATGTATGTATCTTTAGACATAATAACTGTCACATTCCCTTTATCGGCACACATACAATTTACAGTAGAGGAGGAAATTGATAAAAGCGTACCATTTCTGGACACTAAAGTGATCCGGAACAACGATAACAAAATTATATTAGATTGGTACATAAAACCGACGAGTTCGGGGAGATATATGAATTTCCACTCTTACCATACAACGAAAACAAAAATAAATTTGGTCATAGCATTAAAGACACGAATCGAGAGGATCTCTCACCCATCACTAAGACAAAAAAATCTTAATAAGCTTTACGACATGCTGATTAACAACTCATACCCAAGTAGGTAAACTAAAAAATTGTTATATAGCACGACCCCACTAAGAGCTCCAAACCCACGGAACACGGTCGTCCACTCAGATAGCCCAGGAATGGACGATCAGAGATGTTTTTATTTTTCATTGCCATACATTAAAGAATTAACGACCACACTCACAAAAATTCTGAGAGCACAAACAAATATTAAGATAGCATATAAACAAACAAAAACATTGGGGAGTGTTTTTAGCAAACTAAAAGATAAGGATGAGGTACAAAAGAATTCAGAAGTAATTTATAGCATCCCCTGTAATCAGTGTGATCAGGTATACATAGGACAGACATCGCGAGTACTTAAAGATAGAATTACGTCACACAAGAGTGATTGCAGACTCAATAAGAACACCTGTTCATTAGCAACACACTCTAACCAAATGGATCACGATGTTAACTTTGTTGAAACAAAAATTCTCCATAAAGAAAGCAACTACAACAAAAGAGCAACTTTGGAAATGGTGGAGATTTTCTTGGAACCGAAATCGGTCAATAAAAGATCTGACATTGATGGCCTCAGTGTGATCTACTCTAATGTCTTAACTTTACAACCAACCGTCAATCGAATTGCGTTTGCTGATAATAGTGTCGTCACAATGTAATTATAATTTAGAAAAATAGTCCCAAGCCTCTATACATTAGGTGCCTTGTAAGCAAAAAGGAGGTAACAAAAAGGGGAAAAAAAAGAAAGGGAAAAAAACTGGACGGCTGGCGGTGGTCATACTCATAAAACCTTTCCATCATTTGCGTTTTGCGTTTGAAGTAAAATTCGTTTAAATAAAATGTAATAACAATTTCGTCTAGATGGCTGCCCTCGGTTATAATAATTAACGGTCGTATTTGATTCTTTCTGTTATCCGGATGAGTTTGGTGTTGGCCTATAATGGCACTGTAGCAGTAAGTACTTTAACTATAAGACTTTAGTATTAAATAACTAAGAGCCGCTTTCATATTGTAGCCCCTGAAGAAGAAAATAAACATTTTCGAAAGCTTGGTGTAGCACAAAAGCCTTTTATTTGAGCCCTCATCAGGACCGATACCCCAATTAACTAAAATTTGTTATATATATATATATATATATATATATATATATATATATATATATATATATATATATATATATATATATATATATATATATATATATATATATATATATATATATATAATAAATAAAATATATATATAATAAAATATAAAATAAAATATATATATAATAAAAATATATAAATAATAAACATAAACATCAAATATCTTTAAAAAGGCAAGGTATATAGGTATAAGACATTGGGGAAGAAGCAATTGAAAAATGCAATAAAATAAAGAAAAAATAAATCTTATGTAAGTTTTCAACATTTTGCTTTTATAAATAAGTAGCATTTCCTCAAAAAAGACGACGAATTTCCTGTTTCCAATCTTGCGAAAACCGCACTCAGTTTATTCGGAAAGTGCGGGTACCAAAATCGTAGTGATTTACCGACGATTTAGTATTAAAATTTAATTTGCAATTATCTCCCTCTTATGGCTAAACAAAACAAGTTTCAACCACAGAAACACAATAAAATCTGCCAACTAGTCAACTTACCAACACCGATATCCTCCGGTATGGAAATCAAAGGTGACATTTTTTGCTTGAGTTTCTTCACCGCCCCTAGGTAGCCACGTTTGAGTACATATCTGCCAGATTGCGGCTCAGTTTCCTCGAAATGCGATGCTTTGCCGCCTTCTGCGTCTATTTTCACCACTTCGACGCCTTTCTCTTTGTTTACTTTGATTTCTTCAAAATTAGGAGCGTTGTCGTTTTCATCCTCAATGAAAATGTTCAACTTTGATTCGCTATAAAGACCGCCTTTATCTTTGGCCACCAATCTGAGATTGTAAACGCTGGTGGTTTCGCGATCTAACGGCATACTCGCGCTAGTAAACTGAATTTTGCCAGTGTTTCGATCTAAACGGAAGTTTTCGCTTCCGTTGCCGAATATCGTCACAGTAAATTGACCATTCGCACCGATATCTTTGTCGCTCGCGTGTACAGGAAAGTCAAGATCAACCTCCGTGCCTGACCTCGAGTTTTCTTTGATTTTTCCTTCGTAGGTGCTCCGTTCGAATGTGGGCTTATTATCGTTTTCGTCATCAACGTAGATAGTTACCTAAGATAAAGAAATATATACAGTGCGTCGCATTTAAAATGGAGGCACCCTAATATTTTAACACACAATTATAATGTACAAAATTATACTTGATAAATTACTGTGCCATGGAAAGAAAAATCTCTACCTCTACAATTTATTAATATAATCGGTGTCATTTAAATTCTTCTGTAATTAATATAAAAGAATACTTTTTAATTTTAAGACAACAATTTTCATGGAATAGGGTGAGAAAAATTCGTAAAAACAAAAGTTGAAAAGATTGCTAAGATGAACAATTTAAAATTATACTTAAAAGTATACTTTTTTTTTCTAAAAAAAAAATGCTTGCTATCACATTTGCAAAAAAATTACCATCATTTTTGAAAGCAAATAACTCTTATTTGATATCAGCATTATTATGCATCGGAATTTAAATTAGATGCTAACTGGTATTCAAATTAAACGAATGTTTTTGGATTATTTTTAAATCAAAAATCTCGATTTTCTTAAATGGCATACGATATATATATATATATATATATATATATATATATATATATATATATATATATATATATATATATATATATATATATATATATATATATATATATATATATATATATATGCACCTTTTATTAAGTATTTTTAAGTATTTGCCATAACCTTGCTCGGCCATAAAAATATGCCAAAACATTTATTACATTTTCTTTGTTTGAAAAGTATCACGAGTAATAGAGATTGTAACGAGATAGTTTCCAACCGTAGTTTGTAAATCTTTTCATAATTCTGACAGATTTTCTCCTGTTGATGTGTATAAATCAAAATGCATAATAAACAAATTCATTAAACATGATTAGAATAATAGTTTCCTTCCATTTTGAAGCAATTTTATAGACAAAATTTGCACCACATTCAATAAATTTATGTTTAAATGTCAAACGAAAAATAAATTAGAAACTAGCTATACCAAACGATTTACAATAATATATTTGAATATGTGATAAGATGGCAAATTATTATTTTTGACCAACCCTGTATGATATAGAACTAATATTAAGAAATAATATTAATAATAATTTTAAGAAATAATGTTCAGTAACTTCTTAATTTACGTCAACAATTTATACCTTCTAAGCTCTAACTTTCTACTGGTTTCAGTGACGTAGTAATCGAAATTTAATTGAAGCTTTGTTTTGGTTAGGAAAATGAAAAATTTAATTAAATTAAAATTTTTAATGTTGATGCTACTTTTTCGAAGAAGAGGCGACCTCGAAGCGTTAATAGAATTTTAGATCGATAGAGAGCATCGCCAATTATGTAACTAGTCAAATTTTCAGAACAATCCAATATACCGTTCGACGTAAACGTCTAAGTTACCATCAAGCATGAAAGACCCCGTATATTACTATTAAAAGGTAGACTATTAGGTAAGTTTCAGCAGATTATTTCAGGCATTTTTTTTTTTTGGTTTGATTTTAAATCTTGTTTTGGTTAAAGTTAATTTTTACTAAGTTGATATACAATCGGTATCAAGCTGAACTGACAACTACACTTAGTGATTTAATTGCCTTATATCTGTGAGACAGGAAAGTTTTGCTCTTTAATGGCTCGTTTCTATGAAATATATGTTATATTAGTGACATGTTATAAAGATTAATGGCAACAGGGTGCGAATTCCACTAACACACAACCTAGCCTACCTGATGTGGCTGAAGTTACATTTGGATTTGGATTCGGATTTGCAAATATTACAGTGGACCAGTTCGCTATCCTGTGGATATGCTGGATAAATAAGCACGGAAATATTGTAAAGGAACTCCCAAAAACTATATCCAATATTGCTATACAGAAAATAACCCCTTTTCCGCCCGCATCACCCAAAAAAAAATTACTATTTCGCAATCTCGAAAAAATCAGATACGGTCCCAGACATTGAATAACACCATTGAAAAGCCACTTGGGAGAGCTTCAAAATGATGTATTACTGAACCATCTTGAAACGGTCGGGAATATATAAAACTACCCCATTTATGAAATTCCCAAAAGTTCGTTTTATTTATTTCGCATTCGCAAAAGAAATCTAACGTTGCTAGATATTCAATTAGACCATTAAAGAGCCACTTAGGAGAGCTTCAAAATGATGAATTACTCAACCACCTTGAAACGGTCTGGATGATATAAAACTATCCCCAATAATGAAATATTCAGAAGTTCGATATATTTATTTCGCAATCGCAAAAAAATCTGATGTTCCAGATATTCAAGTAGACCATTAAAGACCCACTTAGGAGAGCTTCAAAATGATGTATTACTCAACCACCTTGAAACGGTCGGAATGTTATATAAGTACCCATATTTATGAAATACCCAAAAGGTTGATATACACGGTGTCCAGAAAGGGTGGGGGGGTATTTGTCACGGCGTTGTCCGAGGAACGGCGCGATTGGTGGGGATAGATAAGATAAGCATGCTTCGCCAGTATTTGGAGATTCAGGAACCATAGAAGCGTACCCGGGAAACCATCGTGCTTTTTGCATACGCGCTTATTATCTCAATGGTGATTCGATAGTGTCAGCTCAAAGTTTATATGGTGCAGAATTTAATGTACGGAAGACACTGAAAGACGATACCATCCGAAAATGGATTCGAATGTCTGAGAACACCTGTTCGAGTGTGAAAATTCACCATCCAGGTCGCCCACGCTCTGTTCGAACCCAACAAGCGATTGAACAAGTGAGAGTTTCAGTGCGTCAAAATCCTTCTCAATCAGTTCGCAAACGAGGTCAAGGCCTTAACATTAAAAAATCGTCGTTGCACACTATTTTGAAGAAAGACTTACATCTTACAGCCCACAAAATTCAGCTCGTACAGGAACTGAAACCTACCGACTATCCTCTTTGACTGAATTTTGAAAATGAAATGCTTCAACGCTTCCCAAAGTTTGAAAACATCCTGTTTAGTGACGAAGCGAATTTTCACTTAAACGGGCACGTAAACAAAGAAAACTGCCGCTTCTGGTCCAACGAAAATCCGAGAGAAAAACATGAACGACCACTACATAGTCCAAAGGTTATCGTGTGGGCTGCCATGTCTGGGTCTGGCATCATTCGGCCGTATTTTTTTGAAGACCGGCGAGGACGACCACTTACTGGAGTTTGAAGGTTTTAATGGAGAGGCATGATTTCAACAAGATGGAGAGACTTGCCACACTTCAAAGCAATCGCTTGCGGTTGTCACTCAACTTTTCCCAGAAAAAGTTATCTCTCCTCGAGGAACCATCAACTGGCCCCCGAGAAGCCCCGATCTGACACCCCTTGATTATTTCATGTGGGGATACTTTAAACAGAAAGTTTACGCAAATAAACCACAAACTCCACTGCAACTGAAGAACAATATACGCACCGAAATGGCCGCCATTTCAGGAGAGATGTGTAGACGCGTGGTGGCTAATTTCCGATGGTTTGTTTTTAATTGAATTTACAAATATCCCCTACCATTTGGGGACACCCGATATTTATTTCGCAATCACAAAGAATTGACGTCCCAGATATTAAATTAGACCATTAAAGAGCCACTTCAAAATGATGTGTGGCGACATTGGATATGGTTTTTGGGAGTTTCCTTACAATATTTCCGTGCTTACTTATTCAGCATGTCCACGGAAATATGTTTTTTTAATTCAGATAAGTAACGAACTGGTCCCCTGTAATATATGCAAATCCGAATCCAAATCCAAATCTAACTTCAGCCTCATACCTACCTGGTAGATACCAGTGCCCAAAACGCTTCCCTTATTATATTCAGCGATGACGGTTAGCCTGTACACGTCTCTAGTCTCTCGATCCAGAGATCTTAGTGTATGCAATGTTCCATCACTTGTTATAGCTATCACATCGGTAACGTCTTTTTGGTTGGCGATAGAGAATTTCAACCCACTTGTCGTGTTACTCTTGAAACCCAGTCTTCCTATTAATATATTCGGTTGATTTTCCTTCACATGAAATTCTAGGGGCGCTTTCCCGGCTCTGAAAATAAATGAATTTGTCGTTAAATTGTTAAAGGTAACCAAAATATAACTTTAATTAATTCGTTGTATTTTGTTTTACGAGTAAATATATATTTAACCGAACCTGTATCTTGTACAATAAAGATCGAAAGGGCTAAATAATGTCTAAACCTAAAAACACATCGTATTGGAAATTTGAAATAATTCAGCACTGCATTTGGAAATATAACTTCGACCAACGAACGTTTCGATATTCTAGACTCTAGAAGAATATGAATGTTTTATTCGACTCCTCATTATTTAGGTATTGTACGACCAAAAATATAGTGCATTTATTCCTTAACCTTCGCAGGACCATTGGTAAAACCACCAACAGATTTTAATTCTGAATTCAGTAGGTCTTCCTTGAGATGGACCGTAACGAATATTTGTAGAAACTTGAAATTTTTATTTGAAACGTAAATGGACCGTTTTAAATTTTATTGAGTATTGATGCTGTGGGGTATTTTCGAATAAGCAGAATCGTTTATTTTAACATCGGGTGATATGTATCGTTCTTAAGAGTTTAATCTAAATTACAATATGTTCGCTTATATAAAGGAGATATTTGAATGGTATCCTTCCAGTAAGTACGTATTTATGTACCTCATTTTCGAGCTTTGACCATGCGAGGCTGTTTTCATTGGATAGTTCAAAGGCTAGAAGTACCTGTACTCTTACAGGTAAGTTTGAAAATAATCATATTTGTCTTGTGCGACTGTAGATTAGCAACATTTTTCTTCTTGTATTTTTGTGTCTATTTCTTCGATTTGCAAACAACAAGAATCTTTTTTAAGACTACAGATTATATTCGCGGTAGACAAAAGTACGTCATAAGAATACAGATAAATATTTATTAGAACCTTACAATTAAACATTTTTTGAAGATGCCTATTTTTTAACACTTTAAAATGTGAAGACCTTGGAATGAAGCAGATGTTCCCCTGTTAGAAGAAGACGTGGGAAACAACGCAGAATGTGAAAACGAAGTGGAGGTGGGAGTCGAAACTAATGACAATTTTGAAGACGAACTACCTCAGCAAATAAAAAACTAATCCAGTTATATTCCGATGCTAAACAAATTCTTTGAATGTTTGCAATTTTATAAGAAATTCAGAAGAGGAAGTAGGAGCAGCAATAAAAAGAAATGATATACAATGTAATATATTGTTACTTTGTACTAATTTTTTTATGTACATGTTTCAAGAATTGCTCGGCGAAAAAGATTGGAAACATACTTATTTCCCGCTTATTAGTGTAGGTAGATAAATTCCTAGGACGGTCCTGGAATGGTTACTGGTAAGGGTCTGTTCGGCGAGGTGTTCTATAAGGGGCTAACAGTAGTCAAATTTAGTCACGGGGTCGGTTGTAAAAGCACTATAATTCTGTTCGAAGTTCGACAAACTAGGCCAATCATACTAATAATGTATGTACTCGGCAAAAAAACTGTTACAATAATGATGGAGGTATTCAATTACATCTTGTATAGAAGTTGCAGTTACCGAGAGAGGAGCATATTACAATTAAAAACAAAAAAAAAGTCTAGTATTTGACATGCTAATTGACAGAACCAAATACTGTAGAAGCGTGTCTTTGGTCGTGGTTGGTGTTCGTTTTTCCATGTTTCTCATAATATTGAAATATAGAGCGGTTATTACTGTTATCCGATTAACTTACTTCATGAGAATGGTCCGTTCGTCATTAGGGTCCACAAGGTGCAACGTTACGTTGGTAACCAAAGATAAATCACGCTCATTGGAAACGACACCTTCGAAATCGTAACGTAATCTGTCGTATTTTTTCAATTCTTCCACCACCGTTATGACTCCAGACTTCTCTTCGACGGCGAATGGAACTGCAAAAAATTGTCGCTGTTTGGTTGCCATAAGGAATAACAGGAATATACAATAGATTAAAATAATCTATGTTATTGTTGGTTCATATTTCAAATCAATAATATTGGTTTCGATTTATATACGTTTATACAGGGTAATTCAAATTATCTGTGTCCTATTGATACTTGATTGATATTGGTGTTTGACAAAATAGCTCAAAACCAAAAGCACATTATCACTGCCACTTTTTCTAATTACAGACGGAACGCCTCGTCTTTCTGAAGCTATCATCTCTTTTTATGGACGAAATAATGAATTTCCAAACATAACAGTTCTTTTGGTCCTGATTCCATTATCTGATATGAAGTAACTGGTAAAGATAAAAATAATAATTGGATCAGGAGAGAATCTCGTTAAACATTCGCACATAAGCATTTCCGTAAAAAAGTTCTATGCGGATCCCTCGTTCTTTGATTAGAGCCACGTTGTTTACGGACTTTGCATTGACTCTAATGACAAACGTGGAATTCTCCTACATATGTTTGGAATTCGACATAGACATCATATATTATATAATCTTTGTGATAACCAAAACGCTTGGTCAAATATCTCAGATATTAGATATTTTCCGTACCGTTTATTCTACTAATAAGTATCCCCCTGACCTGTATAGTAAAACAAGGCGACAAAAAAAACGTAAATAACCTTAAACTTAGAAAGGCCAACAAAATAGTCACATCATCACATAGAAGTGAATTATCTTAACTTAAACAATGAAAATAATAATAAAAAATATGTATATATATATTTATATATATATATATATATATATATATATATATATATATATATATATATATATATATATATATATATATATATATATATATATATATATATATATATATATATATATATATATATATATATATATATATATATATATATATATATATATATATATATATATGTGAAATTTCGTTTAAAGCAGTGCTGCTCTTGTTGCTGTCAACAAACTTCAGTAAAAGATTTATTAGAAATTTCACAAAATTGCAAAAATAAATACAGCAGTTAGTGTAATGAAACTTTACACAAATAAAATAGCTTATATTCTAGTTCACATAATTAAAAACTCTTTGAAATTTAGTAACTTTCCGGAAATAAGTTCGCAAAAATGGAGTCTACGACTACATCAGAATGATTTTATCAAACCCAAAATACCTTGTTTACGGAATTTGTATTAACTCTAATGACAAATGTGGAATTCTCCGGCTTATATATGGAATTCGTATTCCTATATTACATAATCTTTGTGATAACCGCATCGCTTGGTAAAATATTTGTGTCCCGCTTATTCCACAAAATATTCACTAATAAGTCTCCTCCTTAGCTGTCTAATAAAACGAAAAAGTCAAAAAAATAGTCACACCAATGAATGGAGTTCAATTCTCCTAACTTAACTTAACAATCGAAACAATGTCCTGTATCGTATAAGATATATATGTAAAATTTTAATTTTTAAAGATACTTCCACAGGCTACTGTAATACTTTTTATAAAAGGATTCCTCCTGCATGGGGAAACAGCTAACGTTTCGCCAAGAAACTTAAACAGTCTACTGTAATACATTTTATAAAACTTCATCAATCATCCTATTGGATTCTTCAGGCCTTGACTGAAACTGGCTCGCATTTTACGCTGTGCCTACTTATACATGGTTTAAGGGGGGCGGGGCTAAATGAGGGGCATAAACACCGTTTCGGATGACTGATTCCCATATAACCTTCTCATCTTAACTGAAAAATGCTTATAACGGTAAAATTTTTGAACAAACGTAGGGAACAGCTATGGGTTCTCCACTGTCATCAGTCATCGCGAATATATTTATGAAAGCCGTTGAGAAGAAAGCTCTTGACACCTTCCATCTAAAACCAAAATTATGGAAACATTCGTTTTACCGTTGAAATAGAAACTAATAACAATCTCCCTATCTTAGATATTCTTATCAATAGAAAATCAGACCTAACATAGGGTCATTGTGTTTACAGAAAACCTACTCACACATACCGATATCTTAATGCATTGTCACATCACCATCCGACCCAAAAATCATCGGTTATCAACTCTCTTCTTTACAGAGCCGTAAAACTATCTCAGTCCAAGTCATTGAACCCAGAATTAAAACACCTCACCTCTGCTCTTCTCTCTAATAATTTCCACATTAAAGATATTAAACGTTCCATCACAAAATACACTTGACCACAATCTTCAAATAGCAATGAAATCGAAAGCAATCCCACACTTGCGACTATTGCCCTTCCTTATATTCAAAACATCACTGACCCCATATCAAAAGTTCTAAAGAAATATAAAGTCAAAACCAGATTTACCGCTTGTCCCAAAATCTCTCGATATCTTCGATACGTAAAGGACAAAATTCCATTTGAGATGCCAGGAGTTTAAAGCATTCCATGCATATGGCGGCAAAGAATACATTGGAGAGACCGGACAAAAAATATCAACTAGGTTCAAAAAACACGAAACAGCCTCAAGACTGAAAAAAATAAACTCATCAGCAGTTGCCGAACACAATTACGAAACGGGACATAAAATTTTATTCGATGAAACTAAAATTCTTGCATGTAATCAATTCTTCTATTAACGGAAAATCCGAGAAATCTATAACTAACCTAATCATCTTAACGGTGACTCAGGTCTCTACCTGTCACCAATATGGGAATCAGTCAATCGAGACGGTGTTTATGTCCCCTTCAAACAATATATAAGCAGGTGCAGAGTAAAATTTGAGCCAGTTTCAGTCAAGCTCTGAAGAAGCCAACAGGATGATGGGCGAAACGTTAGCTAGTTCGAGTCAACAAAAACCGACGCAGAAAGAATCCAGAAGTTTTATGAAAAGTACATGTAAAATTTTCTTTAAAATTATGTTGCTGTATATGAGGCAATAAACTTAAGGTTAAGTTTTCCTATATCTAATTTGAAGAGAAACCCTTTTTTTGCCTTCATGTGCAAGTACTTGATTTTTTTTAAAGACCTCTTTCTTGATTAATTAATTTGCTATAATAGCCGTCTAATAAACATAGTGCCAAACTTAATTATCAAAAGAGTCTGTGCCCCTTTTGAGTGTAAAATTCTCCAACGTAATCGATGCATTTACAATCCGTTTCAGTAATAGAATAATTAGAAATATAACAAAAATTCAAAAATTAATACAGCAGTTAGTGTAATTAAACTTTATATAAATAAAATAGCTCATATTCTAGATCATACAAATAACAACTCTTCAGAATTTAGTATCTTTCCGGAAAAACAAAAGTTCGCAAAAATTAACTCAGTGTATTAAAAAGGTAGTCTTACAGACTTAAATAATTATCAACTTATTAAACTTCTCTCAAGTTTTTCTAAAATATCTGAGATGGTGATGTGTTTTCGATTTAAAAATTTTGTCGAAAAACGCAGTTTATTCTCACAATTACAACATGGTTGTCTAAAGAGGAGGGAGGAGAAGGGTTCGATTTAAAAGAATCGTTTTCAATCACTTGGAAGATAAAAGTATACCTTTGTACTTATTCCTTGATTTTAGTAAAAAGTATGACTGCATTCTTCGAGGCATATTTGCGTAATAAACTTTACAGATACCGAATAACAGGAAATGCCTAGGACTGTATTAACATATAGTGATTCAAAGTGTTGATGATTTTATAAAATCCAAAACAATATAAAACAAAATTGGCATGGATCAGGGGAGTATTCTTAGCCCTGTATAATTTATTATTTATATAAATAATTTCCCGTTAACGATGAAATTTTAGAAATTACATACTAAGCCGACGACTATCAACTAATTAATATCACGGAGAAATAAAACATAAGTTTAACGCAAAACTAGCTGAGTTTGGTATCTTTCAAAAACCAAGGATAAAATAGGAACTTAAAGTGAAACTAAATTTGACTAAATTAAATTCAGTAACAGTTGGCATGTTAGAACTTTAATAGCAACGGAATATATCTTGTTAGTGGGGTGTTTAAATTCAATAACATTACCAATTATATTTTTAGTAACAGAAAAAAATTGACGATACAATCCGAAGAACTAAGGAGTGTTTTTTTTTCGATATATAGAACTTTAAGTTGCAATAAAACAACGATGGATTATTCGATTGACATGAATTTTATTTATCCGAAAGATAGTCGTGTGGTACTATATTTTAAATATGATTTCTGGCATATGACCGCCACGGCTGGCGCGGTCATATGCCAGCTGGCGCGGTACAATATGGACGTCCAATTTTAGATGACTTGTTCCAATATTTGTGGCCGTATATCGCCAATAACATGGCGAATGTTGTCTTCCAAATGGTCAAGCGTTTGTGGCTTATCCGCATAGACCAATAACTTTACATAGCCCCACAGAAAGTACTCTAGCGGTGTTAAATCACAAGATCTTGGAGGCCAATTCACAGGTCCAAAACGTGAAATTAGGCGGTCACCAAACGTGTCTTTCAATAAATCGATTGTGGCACGAGCTGTGTGACATGTTGCGCCGTCTTGTTGAAACCACATCTCCTGGACATCATGGTTATTCAATTCAGGAATGAAAGAGTTAGTAATCATAGCTCTATACCGATCACCATTGACTGTAACGTTCTGGCCATCATCGTTTTTGAAGAAGTACGAATCAATGATTCCATCAGCCCATAAAGCGCACCAAACAGTCAGTTTTTCTGGATGCAACGGTGTTTCGAAATACACTTGCGGATTAGCTTCGCTCCAAATGCGGCAGTTTTGTTTGTTGACGTAGCCATTCAACCAGAAGTGCGCTTCATCGTTAAACAAAATTCGCTTATAAAAATCGGGAACAACGGCAATCTCGTTTTGGGCCCATTCGACGAATCTACACATTACTTGATGATCGTTTGGCTTCAATTCTTGCACGAGTTGGATTTTGTAAGCACGTCCTTCCGCAAAATATTCCATAAAGTGGATGGACACAGATCCAATTCCTGTGCTCGATCGTGGATGGACTCATTCGGGTCTTCCTCGATGCTACGCTATAAAGCAGCAATAGCTTCTTCTGTACGCACCGTATGGCGTCTCTGGAGATGCGAGTCATCAATAAGAGTAAACGTGGTGCGAAAACGTTCCATGGTTAATCGAATTTACTGCTCTGATGGACGATTTTGTCGACGATAAAATGGACGTAGTGCGCGATACGTATTGCGCACAGAAATATTATTTTCGAAATAAAAATACACTATTTACAAGCGTTGTTCAGGCGTGAGTCTATTCATGATGAATTGCCAAACCAAACTGAGAATAAATCACTCGAGAGCTGTTAAATCGGTCGCCATCTTGAACAGTAATGCCAACTTAAAGTTCTATACATCGAAAAAAAAACACCCATTATAAGCCAGGAGAATAATATATTGTTTCTTGAAATCAACTTGTTTGTTGCTCTATTTTCCGCTCAGCCATTATTTTCTTATATAATTTTTGTATTTCTTTATTTTCTTGTAAGTGAAATAGTCCACAATATATATTCTTATTGTTACAGTGAATTTGAAAACTTGAAAGGTTTGCTGTAATTTACCGATATTCAGGGTTCTAGCTTACTGCGAAATCAATAGCACATATGAACAATTTTTTTGAGTAACTTCCCTAGTCTCGCTCAAAACACCTAATGTTCCCCCGTGTATTAAGTTGTGCTTGGCTTTACCAATACATAGTTTCGAATAGTTAAATTATAACAATTTTGTTGGTATGTACCAGGTAGTACTCCCTTATGGTAAACTGTAGCTATTTTAAAGACAGGTCTTTATTTACTTATTTTCCTAATTGGTATGTAATTATTATATGATTAATGAAGTTCTACAATTCACTGTTAGTACCTACCTCCTTCATGATAGCTGTGAAGCAAATCAAAAACCAGCTTATTTTTGTCAGGAACTTCGCTGACACGTAGCTGACCCACGCTAGTTCCGATTCCAACATTAGCTCCGACCCAAAATTCGTACGGTGCGCCGATAAACTCTGGGTAGCCCTTCTGCCCTGAGAAAAAAGCGGATTTTAGATAACTCTAGTAAATTACTTTCGACACTCAAGTTGGTTTATAAGTAGACAGATTACAAAAAAATCTCATGTCTATTCCACTAAAGGAAATTATTGCCTCCTACATAGTAGGTTTAGTAAAACTGGTGGTCAAAAAAATATATTTTTCCCTGAAGAAAAACTTTTCTACTTCATTCCTTTAAAAGATAAACAATAATTTTAAGAGTAAAACAAAAAATTCCACAAATCTTCATTATAAAGATATGCAATGTCATTGGGGATATCTCGGTTCATGGTGGATCATGGTGGTATTTTTTTTTATGAAACGAAAGATGCTGTCAACAAAATGTTATAATATCTATATTTAATATTATAATATTTTAATATGACTTCTTACAGTAATCCATGAAATACAAATAAATTAACATTATGATTACTAAATATTTTATATAATAAATATATTATAGCATAATTTTATATATTTGACAATTAGTTAGTTTCAGTTCATTAATATTAATTACTATCAAGTAATAAATTATTATTTTAACGCATTAAGTAATACCTTGGGGCGGGCAGGCACATTGCTCACTTCCCTTTCTGTGGCATTTCGCAGATCTTCCATTGAGAATTTAATTTAGTTAAATTTAGTTTTACTTCCAAGTTAACGTCGTCATTTCATCCTTGTATTTTGAAAGATGCCAAACTCAGCTAGTGTTGCATTAAACTTGTATTTCATTTTCTTGATATTAATTAATTGATAGTCATGAACGGCAGCGTATAAGTTATTTGTATAAATAGTAAATAATATAGAGCTAAAATTACTCCCCTGAGCCAAGTCATTTTTTGTTTTCTTTTGTTTTGGGTTTGATAAAATCATTCTAATCCAGTCGTGGACATTTTAAAAGTTTAATGTACTGACTTAATTTTTGCGAACTTTTTTCCGGAAAGTTACTAAATTTCAAAGAGTTTTTAATTATGTGAACTAGAATATAAGCTATTTTATTTGTGTAAAGTTTCATTACACTAACTGCTGTATTTATTTTTGCAATTTTGTGAAATTTCTAATAAATCTTTTACTGAAGTTTGTTGACAGCAACAAGAGCAGCACTGTTTTAAACGAAATTTGACATACATATATTTTTTATTATTATTTTCATTGTTTAAGTTAAGATAATTGACTTCTATGTGATGATGTGACTATTTTGTTGGCCTCTCTAAGATTAAGGTTCTTTAAGTTTTTTTTTTGTCGGCTTGTTTTACTATACACGTCAGGGGGATACTTATTAGTAGAATACGGTACGCAAAATATCTAATATCTGAGATATTTAACCAAGCGTTTTGGTTATCACAAATATTATATAACATATGATGTCTACGTCGAATTCCAAAGATATGTAGGAGAATTCCACGTTTGTCATTAGAGTCAATGCAAAGTCCGTAAACAATGTTGCTCTAATCAAAGAACGAGGGATCCGCATAGAACTTTTTTACGGAAAAGCTTATGTGTGAGTTTTTAAGGAGATTATGTAGTGACCATATTATTATTTTTACCTTGACCAGTTACTCCATGACATATAATCTACATGGTTCTGTTTTTGTTATCAAGATTAAAAATTGTTTGTTAAATCACACAAGAGCCTATGATAAATTATAAATCAGTGAAAATTCTTTATGTCGCCCATAAGAAGCGATGATGGCTTCAGAAAGACGAGGCGTTGCACTTGTAACTAGAAAAAGTGACATTGATAAAGTGCTTTTGGTTTTGAGCTATCTTGTCAAACACAAGTTATAATAAATATATTGTTTTGGTATCAATAGAACACAGACAATTTGAATAAACGTGTATTAGTTTTAGCTCATTAGCATTAGTTAATATCTAGTGCTAAATTATTATTTAAACGCATTCCTTACTTCCCTTTCTGTGGGATTTAGCATATCTATTGTGTGATTCTGATTTTTGAAAATTTGATTTTGAAGCCTCATAAGAAGTGTTATCAAATGCTGATAAGTCAGGAAACTCGGTTGGCCATCTTATGGGACTGTGAGTGGCAATACAATTATTAGCAGAATTAGTATCTAAACATGGACGTGTGCTTTTTTAACATTTTTAGATTTTGGAACTCCACTTAGGTTAGTTTTAAGTCTACCAAATATTCGTTTGTTGAGTTGTCTCCACTCTGGTTACATAAAAGTAAAATATATTTTATTATCCATTATCCATTATCCAGTGGAGATGCTTCATCGGTATTTTCACAACACAGCACAAAACAACACAGCATGCCATATTTGCCGATATTTCAAAGGTCGCCATTCACTGCCGAAATATTTATAACAATTTGATTAACATTAACAATATTCAGTGCGTTTTGCAACATTGATTATATTTCGACAGACAAAGCGCCGTTCTGTTCTATCAGAAACAAGTCTCTAAAATAACAACTTAGAACAAAAATTGCACATTAACTAAAATTAAAAACAAATGGTAAACTGCCCTTAGCGGATACAATACAATGACGTAAAATTGCACACGGTTATTTATTTAAATTTAAAAATGTCATAATTCAAAAAATAAAAAATGAATGTATTTTTAATTCTTCGATAGCTTACATATTAACGGCGATACGAGCAGTACCGCAAATCACGAAATTTCGAAAATTGTCCTATAGCTCAGAAACGCAATGGGATTAACAAATTCTATTGACGGCATCTCTCGTTTCACAAAAAAAGTAGCACCATGTCCAGCAAAACGCAAGCCTCTAGTTTTACCCGAAACCGAGATATCGGGCAATGACAATGAATTTCGGACATACTGTACACTTGCATAACATGATGTGGTGTGATAAAGTGCTCCATGTTTATTTACAAATTTGCAGCTCTGCTTCTTATATTAATATTATATAATATTTAAATTCGAATTGTATTTAATTTTGAATATGTATTACTCTTGCAAATATTCCTTATCTTTTAATGTGATTAGGTGATTTATTCAGCCATTTTGTACTCTCTCATTAAGTTTGTTTGTTGTTGTGTGCTACCCATGATATACTTGGTTAACTTAGAACCGTGTTTGAATAAAGAGAATTTTATTTGGTAATTATCTATTATGAATTCAATGGTTAGTAACTAAAATCATACAATATCTGTTCTGGTTTCGAAGAGAATAATAAGTCCTTGTCATCTCTTTTTTGATTTTTAGAGAGTTTTTGAGGTGTATAGAATTAATAGTCAGCTCATATTTATTAGCAGCGTACCGAAGGGACGCATACTGGTAGCATTTCTATTTATAATATTTCTTGATTTTTCAAAGGAACTGGCTAGTGTAATACTATTTATAAAACTTCCGGATTGGTCCTGTGTCGGTTGTTGTTGAATTGAACTTGCTGACGTTTCGCAGATCATCCTGTTGGTTTCTTCAGAGTTTAACAAAAACTACTGACTCGCATTGTACTCTACAGGAGCTAGAGGAGGGACATGAACGTTGTCTCGGATGACTGTTTCCCATATTGGAGATAGGTAAAGACCTGACTCGCGGTTAAGAAGATTATTTGTTTTCTGATAGAATCATATAGATTTCTATAGACTCTCGGATTTTTCATTTGGACGAATTGCTTACATTCAAACATTTTTGTTTTATCGAATAAAATTTTATATCCGGTTTCGTGATTGTGTTCGGCAGCCGCTGATGAGTTTATTTGCCTTAGTCTTAAAGCTTTTTCATGTTCTTTGGGCCTAGTTAATCTTCTTCGCCTGGTCTCTAAAATGTATTCTTTGGAGCATATGCATGGAATGTTGTAAACCCCTGGATCTCAAACGGAATTTTGTCATTGATGGATTGAAGATGTTGAGAGACTATTGGAAAAGTGGTAAATCTGATGTTGACGTTATTGTTATTAAGAATTTTTTTTATGGTCAGCGATGTTTTGAATGTAAGACTGGACAAATATGACAAGTGTAGGATTGCTTTCTGACTTTGGAAAGTTATGAGAAAATGGTAAACACAAAAAAAAAATCAAAAAATCTTGACGAATATAACACACCTTTTTTTAAACAGAACAGCCTATTTTCAAAATATTTTGAGTTTATTTTAAAATTCTTGAACTTTCCTTGTTAATAACAATATACGGGGGGGGGGGGGCAAGGCGGCCCCCTAGAGCAACCCCTCAAAAATTGATCAATTAACCAAAAAGTTTTTTTTCTAGCTATTTGTACATTTTTAGCCCTTTGCGTAATACCAGGGCTAAAATGGGCCGCTTAAAAATGCTAAGAAAATGATTCCCTATTATTATAACCGAATCATAATTAATTTACTGAAAGTGTAATTATTTATATTATTATATCGATAGAAAAATAGTTACTAATCAATAAGGATTTCTTTATTAAATACTTTTTAATACGTAATTATAATTATTATATATAACATTATAAATAGGGGAGAGTGGAGTACGACGGCCAGAAGCTTCGCCAACATTTGGGTAAATTTAGTTAAAGTTAATCAAAAATAAATCGGATTGATGATTAAAATCCACAAAAAAATAATAAAAAGCTTAAGTGGGCCGCCTTGCCGCACCCTCCCCCATACCAAAATGTAATAGTTCTTCCAATATTTCAATTTGTCACACTGCCATTTACTTTATTTACTTTCACTTTTTCAATATTTACTTTTCTTTTGAAGACTCTTCGTATAACAGTAATTTTCTATGTCAAACAGGCACTGTCCGATTTTTACCCGACAACTGAGTTAATAAATTCACAAAATGTATTGTGATGTCAGTAATTTGAGAAAAAAAGGATTTTCCTTAAGCTGCATTAATTGATATGATTTATATACTAGTGACGACGAAAGAAATACTTTCTTGGCAATAAAACTACCCTAGTAGACGTGTACCAACTAAGAAATCTCTTCAGTATTTAATGGAACAGTTTGATGCTAGTGGTAGTAAAATAGTACAGCTACTGATCATAGATGCATTATTGTTCAACAATTAATCCATTCTGAGTAC